CCTGGAAAAGCAGTGGAAAACGGCTCAAGTATGGGTGTCTCTGGCACCGAAGTTGGAGACCTGGATGGAGTTTCTGGCTCCTGGCTTGGGCCTGGCCCAGCCCCTGCCATTGTGGCCATTTGGGGACTGAATCAGCAGACTGAAGAATAATTCATCTCCACCCCAAACCCCTACCCTTCTCGTAACTCCTTCAAATAAATAAATACATCTTTAAAAAAATTTGAAAAAAAAAAAAGTTTAACGCCTGTAATTCCACTTGTCTGTGGCAGGTATGAGAGACCAAAACTTTAGAACATCATCTGTATCAGACAAGCATGCTATTTCAAACACTGGGAGCAATCCTATGGCTCCCAGCTGGAGGGCTAAAACACTGACATTCCCACAAGCTAGGATTCATCCCACAGGCGAAGCTTACATCACCTTTCCCCAGCTCCCTGCATCAGAACGCACTAGATTCACTTTGGACGCTCTCAGTAAGAGCTCTGAGGGGCTGGTGCTGTGGCATAGCGGGTAAAGCCAGCATATGGGCACCAGCTCGAGTCCTGGCTGCTCCACTTCCGATCCAGCTCCCTGCTAATGTGCCTGGGAAAGCAGTGGAAGATGGACCAAGCACCTGGGTCCCTGCACCCACACGGAGGACCCGGATGAAGTTCCTGGCCTAGCCCTAGCTGTTGCAGCCATCTGGGGAAGTGAACCAGTGAATGGAAGACATCTATCTTTTCTTCTCTAACTCTGCCTTCCAAATAAATACATGTAAAAAGAAAGAACTCTGCTGCTGCCCTCCCAAATTCCCAAGGGATATTCTTGTACACAGCACTTACTGCCCCACATCTCTAGCGCAGAGGTTCTTCCCTAACAAAGTATCTGTCTGAACACCAGTCTGCTCCTTCCCTTCCTAAAATCTCCCCTCCTCAGGCATCAGCAGCCTGCCCTGACCAAGCTGCCTCCGGAACCAAGCGTGAGGTAACCCCACCCTCTAACACCCCCACAGACCACGCCTCTCTGCTGAGTCACTTTGCTAAGACTAGTATATTTAATATGTGTACTTGAGAGAACAAAATGGCTGGCACCTGGAAATCAGGAAGAAGCTGAAGCATGCAGGTCACAAGGATTCAATTTTGTATCAACCAATTTGAAAAGGGGCAGGCACTGTGGCCTGGTCTCTGGCTCCCGGCTTTGGCCTGGATCAGATCTGGCTGTTGCAGCCATTTGGGGAGTGAACCAGAGGATGGAGGATCTCTCTCTATCCCTCCATTGCTATGCCTTTCAAATAAATAAATAAAGTTTTTAAAAAGAAATTTAAAAAAAACCCACAATAGCTAACTGTGTTTGAGTTCAACTGCTATAATTTAGAAGGAAAATACAACCTTTCCTTAAACTCATTTATTCTTCTTTTTTTTTTTTTTTTTTTTAGATTTATTTTATTTATTTGAAAGAGTTAGAGAGAGGTAGAGACAGAGAAGGAGGTCTTCCATTCTCTGGTTCACTCCCCAGTTGGCCGCAACGGCTGGAGCCAAGCTGATCTGAAGCCAGGAGCCAGGAGCTTCTTCCAGGTCTCCCACTTGGGTGCAGGGGCCCAAGGACTTGGGCCACCCTCTACTGCTTTCCCAGGCCATAGCAGAGAGCTGGATCAGAAGAGGAGCAGCCAGGACTAGAACCGGCACCCATATGGGATGCTGGCACTTCAGGCCACGGCACTGGCCCCAACTAATTTATTCTTAATCCTCCAAAATGACTAGATTTCTACCTCCCATGAGGATCTCTTCACCATGGACAACAGAACAGAGCACTGGCCTGAGCCAACAGGCCCCAGCACGGGGAACTCCGAGAAACACAGGTCCTGAAGCCACGTACAGGAGAATCCGACTGGGAGGCTCCAGCCCTCCTCTGGGCCCCTGCTCACTTAATCTTGGTGTCCACCAATACCTCTTCTTCCTCCAGTGTGAGATGTGCACGTGTACTGCCTGTAACCTACAAATACAACATACACACACACACATACACGTGCATGTGCAACATAAAGACATAAGCAAGGAATATTTTTCCTAATAACTATTTTTTTTTTTTTTGGACAGGCATAGTGGACAGTGAGAGAGAGACAGAGAAAGGTCTTCCTTTTTCCGTTGGCTCACTCCCCCAATGGCCACTGCGGCCGGCGCACCACACTAATCCGAAGCCAGGAGCCAGGTGCTTCTCCTGGTCTCCCATGGGGTGCAGGGCCCAAGCACTTGGGCCATCCTCCACTGCACTCCCGGGCCACAGCAGAGAGCTGGACTGGAAGAGGAGCAGCCGGGACAGAATCTGGCGCCTTGACCGGGACTAGAACCCGGTGTGCCAGTGCTGCAGGCGGAGGATTAGCCCAGTGAGCCACGGCACCGGCCAATAACTAGTTAAAGTGAGGTGTCCTGGGGAAAAAAGTTCTCTCCTCAAAGGTTCCTTCCAGCTTGAGAACCAATTATTGGAGCAGAGCACTCCTCAAAGAACACATCCAAGAAGTACTCCCTCAACTGTTATTCGGCAAATTTTGACAAACTTTATGATGAACTAAGTTGTTCTTTAATTAACAGCCACAGGGTTGGCATTGTGATACAGCAGGATAGGCTGCTACCTGTGATGCCTGCACCGCAAAGAGTGCTGGTTTACTGAGTCCCGGCTGCTCCAATTTCCATCTGGCTCCCTGCTAACATGTCTGGGAAAGCAGAGGTAGATGGCCCAAGCGCCTGGGCCCCTGCACCCATGCAGGAGACCTGAATGAAGTTTTAGGTCCCTGGCGCCATCGTGGTCATTCAAGGAGTGAACCAGTGGATGGAAGATCTAAGATAAATCTTAAAAAATAAATAGGCCAGCGCCATGGCTCACTAGGCTAATCCTCTGCCTGTGGCGCCGGCACCCCGGGTTCTAGTTCTGGTTGGGGCACTGGATTCAGTCCCAGTTGCCCCTCTTCCAGTCCAGCTCTCTGCTGTGGCCTGGGAAGGCAGTGGAGGATGGCCCAGGTCCTTGGGCCCTGCACCCGCATGGGAGACCAGAAGCGCCTGGCTCCTGGCTTCGGATCAGTGCGGTGCACCAGCCGTAGCAGCCACTTGGGGGGTGAACCAACAGAAGGAAGACCTTTCTCTCTTTCTCTCTCACTAACTCTGTCAAAAATAAATAAATAACAAGTGTTTCGACACCCTGTAATTACTTTTTTTTTCTTAAGATTTATTTGGAGCCGGCACTGCGGTGTAGCAGGTAAAGCCACTGCTGCAGCACTGGCATCCCATATGGGCGCCGGTTCAAGACCTGGCTGCTCCACTTTCGATCCAGCTCTCTGCTATAGCCTGGGAAAGCAGTAGAAGATGGCCCAAGTCCTTGGGCCCCTGCACCTACGTGGAAGACCCAGAAGAAGCTCCTGGCTACGGATCGGCACAACTCCAGCTGTTGCAGACAACTGGGGAGTGAACCAGCGGATGGAAGACCTCTCTTTTTCTCTCTCTGCCTTTCCTCTCTCTGTGTAACTCTTTCAAATAAATAAATAAATATTTTAAAAATTTTGAAAGGCAGAGATACACAGAAGAGAGATCTTCCATCTGCTGGTTCAATCCCCAGATGACTGCAATAGCCTGACCCAGGCCAAATCCAGGATGTAGGAGCTTCTTCCAAGTCTCTCACATGACTGCAGGGACCTAAGCACTTGGGCCATCCTCTGCTGCTTTCCCAGGTGCATTAGCAGGGAGCTGGATTGGAAGTGGAGCAGCCAGGACTCAAACCAGTGCCATAGGAGATGCTAGCACTGCAGACAGGGGGTTAACCCTCTGTGCCCGCCCCTAACTATTTCTTATAAAACAGTATTGTAAGGAAGGAGTCAAGAAACACAGCAAGAGAGACAAAATGTCATTTTAGAGTCCCCAGGTTTCGGGGCAAGCACTGTGGCATAGTGAACTAAGCTTCCACCTATGGTGCTGAAATCCCATATGGGTGCAGGTTCAAGTCCCAGCTACTCCTCTTCCAATGCAGCTCTCTGCTATAGCCTGAGAAAGCAAAAAATGGTCCAAGTGCTTGGGCCCCTGCAGTCACATGGAAGACCCAGAAACTCCTGGTTCCTGGCTTTGGACTGGCTCAGCTCCGGCTGTTGCAGCTACTTTGGAAGTGAACCAGTGGATGGAAGACCTTTCTATCTCTACCTCTGTCTATAACACTACCTCTCAAAAAACTATATATAAAAAAAAAAATTTCCCAGGGCTGGAGCTGCGGCTCAGTGGGTTAATGCCTTAGCCTGAAGTGCTGGCATCCCATATGGGCACTGGTTCTAGTCCCGGCTGCTCCTCTTCCGATCCAGCTCTCTGCTATGGCCTGGGAAAGCAGTACAAAATTGCCTAAAAGCTTGGGCCCCTGCAACCACGTGGGAGACCCAGAAGAAGCTCCTGGCTCCTGGCTTCAGATCAGCTTGGCTCCAGCCGTTGCGGCCAACTGGGGAGTGAACCAGCAGATGGAAGACCTCTCTCTCTCTCTGCCTCTCTTCTTTCTGTGTAACTCTGACTTTCAAATAAAAAAAAATAAATCTTAAAAATAAATAAATTCCCCAGGTTCCTCTATTCAGAGAACTGGCCATAGGAACTTTAAGGAAAAAACTAATTTTTAATTAGAGGATTATTCCTTTCTGTGGTTCCAAGTCATGAGCTCTAAAACTTTAAAGACGTTGGAGGTACCAGCTCCCCCTCCCAGCTCCCCCTCTACCTCTCCGTCCTTTCCATCCAGCGCTGCAGCCCTGTCCCGCTGAACTCATGGAAAGATGGGTTAGAAGCACCTATCTGTGAGGTACCTGAGAAATGCTAACTGTTGGTAGGACAGAAAGGCTCTGGCACAGGAAGCTTCTAAATTTCCAAGTCTACCCATTAGGAGATCCTTCTAATCACACACTAACCAAGTAATTGTTTTCCTTTGTTTCAAATTGCTAACGGCGAGTATGCGTTGTGTGTGTGTGTGTAAGGCGAGAAGCTAAGAAGACAAGACATTCAGAATCATGCAATTCAAAGGGAAGGCCATTTAATAGGAATGTACAGGCCTGAAGTTCACACTAAGGGCTTAAGATCAGGAATCACCAGTTTTCTCTTCTGACCGTCAGGGAAAGCTAAATTCTCTCTCCCTTGGCTACTGCAAGGGCTCGAGACCTGCAGGTAAGCCTTCCAGCTGGAAACGAATGAATACTGAGAGAAGCCCAGGTTATCCACCCTCTGTCTAGTACTGTTATCTACACTGTGTTCGAAACATTTAAGGACAAAGGATCCCTAGAAATAAACTCTTAACCCTAGCCATGTTCTTGTGTTAGACCAATGAATCTAAAATGTTTCTTCCTAGAATGGGAGGCACTTCAGATTCCAGACTAATTTTGGCTAAGGAGAAAAATGAGGGCGGGGGGTGGGGTGGGGTGTAAATTAAGGTGTAGTAGGTTAAGCCGGAATCCTATACTAAAGCACCAGTTCAAGCCCTGGCTGCTCCGCTTCTGATCCAGCTACCTGCTAACAAGCGTGGGAAGACAGCAGAAGATGGCCCAAGTACTGGGCCCCTGCCACCCATGTGGCAGACCAGATGGAGTTCCAGGCTCCTGGCTTTGGCCTGGCCCAGCCCTGGCCATTGTGGCCATTTCAGAAGTGAACCACTGGATGAAAGATCTCTTTCTCTCTCCTATCACTCTACCTTTCAAATAAAATCTTTTAAGAAAGCAGGAAGAACAAATTATACACCCAGCAAACTGATCCACAACCCACAGACATTCCTCCCACTGTTTACCCACAGCACTATCTGAGCCAAGGCAGCCATTTCTCAGAGACACACTGCTAACTTAGCAAAACCTAAGCGGGATGAGGGTCACTCTGCGGGCATCATTCCTGTTTCTCCTCCTTGGGGTGATTAACTGTATGTGTCAGATTGAGTCATGGGATGTCCTGTATTTGGTCACACATTATTCTGGGTGTGCCGGCCAGGATGAAGCCATGGACTTGACTAAAGCAGACTATCTTCCCTGACGAGGGCGGCCTTCATTCACTCAGCTGAAGGCCTGATCAGAACACAGAGGCTGACCCTCCCTTGGGAGTAAGAGGGACCTCCTACCCGACTGGAACAGAAACATCAGCTCTGCTTTGGGTTTCCAGCCTGCTGGCTTTCAGTCTGGAACATACACCACTGGCCTTCATCTCACGCTTGGCTCAGGCCTTCATGCGCGGCCCGGAGCTACACCAGCAGCTCTCCTGGGTCCCCAGCTGGCCACTGTAGACCTTGGACTGTCAGCCTTCTTAACTGTGTGAGCCAATGCCTTATAATAAACTTCTTCCCATAGGGACATATATACCCTCCGTACTGGTTCTGCTTCTGTGAAGAACTCTAACTCCTTAACACAAATTAATCTGGAAATCGGAGATGCCGCTCCCTGGAGGAAGAAACACTACAGATTCATTAAGTGGGACTAGTCTGGGAAACCTATGAACCTGGGCCTCTGTCTTCCATCAGAGCAAACCAGTGGAGGAGGCTCCAGGTAACTCAGTCTGCTGCTGTCTGCCACAGAGAGCGTTCGCTCCCAAGGCAGATCTCTAACTAGCACTGTGTCCATCCTGGACAGATGCCACCTGTCCTGGCATCTCCTGATACTAACAGGCAGACAAAAGTTTCCAGCCTGTCATAATTTTTCTAAGGCAGCTGATATTATTCTACTTGAAAACTGTAATGCGCTCCAACTTTAAAACAGCCTTCTTCTACCTAAACAGTGGCCAAATATTTGCAGTATATGTCTCTCCTCTCCCCACCCTCCTCTGAAACCAGTGTGTATTCTCAGGCCACATTTCATGGGCTAGACATAGTAAACAGATCCCATTCCCCAAAAAGCAATCGCCACAGAGGTATGGTATGAGAGGTGCACAAGAAAACATCTTTTATTCCCTCTGGGCCCAACCTAAATCATCCTTCCCTCCCCAACTCCTTCATTCTCTGTCAAAACACAAAGATACCTCTAAGCCCCGCCTCCTACCACCAACCCAGTGCATGGCAGTCGACAAAAGACAAAACCGAGGGAGAGTCTCCTAGCCGAGAAAGAGACTCAACAAAGAGTGGCATTCTTATTGCGATCATTCCAAACTACGTAAGGCTGGTGTGACCATGCAAATGATGCCCCTCTGCACACCACTAACAGCCTTTTTGGTACATCAACAGCTGCTACATGTTGCCATTATTTTCCTTTGAGATTCTGAAGTTCCAACGGTATTCTTGATCTTCTTCACCTATTCAACTTTAAACACTCAAATGCTTCAAAAAGCATGCACCTGGGACATTGTTAGGCTGAATAAACTAAGGCCTATCTCTCCCAGGTTACGCTGTTTGGGGCACGATCATATTAATCACTTTGACTCCAAGTATAGTTGGAACCAAGCAGAACTGCAAAGTTCCAGAAATGAAAAATGGGCTTAAAAATTAAAATAAGGCAATGAAAATCTCCATTTCTCAAGACCACCGAGTTACCAAAAATAGTGAATTGGCTGTAGAAGCAGTAATGACAAAACTCAATTTCTATAAAGGAAATTATTTTAAGGTCCCTGGAGCAAAAGATAGTAAACAATGATTGGGAATCATTAAAAATCAGAACCACAGATTTCAAACACTTATCTTTCTGTGCCTATATGTTGTCCAACTCAATCCCAAAAAGGAATCAGAATCAGATTCCTACCAACATAAGACTCCTAGGAGAAATCATATCAGTTCCTTGGGAAACTGTATGTCCTGAAGCAGACTTTAAAAATATGAGAAACCCATGTATATGACAATAAGCCACTTTTTTCCTTCTCACTGTAATTTCTTTGATTTGCTGAGGATCAAGACAAAACAAAAGAATCAGTCTCAGATTCCTGAATTAGTCTGACCTCACCTTGCAACTCATGTGGTCAAGAACAGGTGCTATGTACAATTAAGACAAAAGGACTTTCTATTGGTGAGACTTTAGGGCTCTGATTCCACTGTAGTTACTGTAAAATACGCTAAAGGAGGGGCAGAGGTTGGGAAGGAGGAGGAACATCCATTACAAGGCGACATGACAGGTAGCGGGGCCCTAGCTAGACTTTAAGGAATTGATTCTATTCAGGCAAGGGAAACCCACATAATTAAGTTTCACACTTATAAAAGTATCACTCTGAATTCAGGAATAAGAGGCATTTGGTTGTAGACACAATTTCATCTGTAGATACTAACTTTAAATTTAGAGAAGAAAAACACTCATTGCATTAATGTTACGGGTTGGGTTTCTTATGTGACTCCTAAATCCATCTATTCTCTTTTGTTTCGATACAATTTGCAGCTATGGTTCTGAAGACCACCACAGCCCTGGTGCAGGTGTGCTCTTTAGTTTCAGAAAGTCCATCGGTCATGCAGTTGGCTGTCACTGCTAAATCTGTTGCTTGCAGAAGCCTCAGAGCTCTGGGATTGCCGGGTAGAGTCCTCACCATTTAGGCTCTTCCTACATACGGGACACGTGTCATGCTGAAAAAGAAAGATAGCAGTCCATGTGAACATCTGGCCGGAGAAGCGAGGGGGCACTGAACACATAGGAAACTACAAGAGTTAACACATGAAAAACTGTAACCTGGAAGCTAGAAAGGCAAAGAGCATATGCCCCCACTCAGCACACATGGGGGTCCCACGGTAGGACGCCAGAACAGCTCTCAGACACAACTTTAAGTAGAACTGCAAGAATTCTCTAGTCCTGCAATTGAACAATAGCTAACACATACCATCAAACAGAACTAACTAGAAAACAGTGACCTGAACTATGACAGGAGGGCAACTGCCCAGGACTTTTGATATGGTCTAGAGCAGGTGACAACAACCTTTTTCTTTCAAGGGACAGAGAGTAAACACATTAGACTTTGCAGGCCACACCACCTCCACGGTAACTATTCACCTCTGCCAATGTAGCACAAAAATAGCTATAGGTAATTTGTAAACAAATAAGTATAGCTATGTTTCAATAAAACTTTATTTGCAAAAACAGACTGCAGGTTATAGTAGCCCATACACTAGAGATTGCCAACTCCTGGTCAGAAATGTCCCAAACAGATAGCCATCTCGCAAAGACAGTAATGGTGGCACCAGGGGTCACTCAGGGATTTATGGGCCTACAATCTGATCCACTGGGTTCTCCATGAACTACACTTTTCCCCTGAACAACCCGCTGAGAAGATGTGACTGGCAGGGCTGTCATCAGAGACGCCAGCCGAGCATACTCACCAGTTCTAACCACGGCACAATACAACTGCTGTGAAAGAAGTGATTGCAGGGCAACTGCCGGACTTCCTCTCTAACTGTGTAATCTTCTTTGCACACTGGACACTCTAAACCCATATCTGTGGGAGGAAGAACGCCTTTTAAAGTAAATAAGCCGAAAGAAGGACGGAAAAACTACCCTAAGATATCTAACAACCTGAGGAATGCATACAAATAAGACACAGAGGTAAAAGAAAAGGGGCCATCCAAGTAGGAGGCATGTAAGAAGAATGAATTGTAGTTCAAAATTGGGGGGACAGTGTCATTTTGAAAAGGGGGAATGATGAACGGAGCTTATTCCAATGAGGCCTAGAAAAAACTATAAAGGCCCACTTTTCAATGTACAATTGTAGCTCAGGCCTCCAAGTCAAGAGACAGGAAGCCCCCTTTTCTGAGATGAAAGGGTCACAATCTACAGTTGAGTTCTAGGTAGCAAAACCTAAGTTTCTCAAGCTTGGCTAATAAGTTAGACCAGCTAGTCTATGTCCTTAGCGCTGGGATATGCTCCAGGCCTGAACAGTGATGAAGGCGTTCAGAACTCGACACTCCTTCCTCCCATTCCCAGCATCTCCAACCTAACTCTTTTACTTCTCATTCCCAGTCCACTGCAACCCTCCCAGTGTCCTGAATTCTAGACCTGCAGCTCTCTACATAGATACTATACTTTGCTACCCACTAATTTCCTTTAAAGCCAGCTTCATAGCAACCCCTAGCTCATGTTCACTTGGATTGTCAGCTGGCACCTCAAAATCAACAAATTAAAAATTAAAAACATCGTATCATCTCCTCACCCAAACCAGGGCCCATTCAGATTCCTTTGCCTGGAGGATGGCAGCACCACCATCATAGTTACAAAGTTACAAAATCTTAGAAAAACCTTTGACTCCCTCCCCTCCTGCATCCCATTAGGCAATCAGTGATGCAAGTCTTTCTTTAAAAATCTCCATCTGAATCTTCCCCCTTTCCTTTTTGTTAGACTGGACACCAACACCCGAACCCTAGACCATTGTAACAGACTTAAATCCTTGCTTCTGCTCCCTCCTCTTTCCAATCCATTTTACATACTACTGCTGGACTAATATTTCCTCTAGACTACTTCAGTTCCCACACTCTTACATTTGCGGATCTACAAAACTTACCCACTACATAAAAACGTCCAGTCCTAATGTCTCTTGCAGTGTCAAAGTCCTCTATAACAAGACCTATTCTCCTACTCTCTAAATGAGATTCAATTTTCAGGTCTAACAAGGTCACTCTCATCATACTATAACTTAAATACCATATCCACATTGATATTATACTGATTCATACTTTTCAATACACAAAGTGACCTAAGATGGCCCATCTTGTCTTTAAATCTCAAACACTAAACTTGAATTTGAGGAAATAAACTCCCAGTCCAAAATAATGCCCCTCACTACTAAACTGCTTCAGACTTTTTAAATAAAACATTATCTATGGCTAACATTCCTAATTGTATCCGATACAAAGTACTTGTGAAACAAATTCTCTTTCTCTTTCCTCAAAGTCAGTATCATCTGTCCAACACTATAGCACTCTAAAAAAAAAAAGATTTATTTATTTCAAAGGCAGAGCTACACAGGGGGGGGGGGGGGGGGGGGGGGGGGGTGGTGTCTTCTGTCTGCTGGTTCACTCCCCAAATGGCTGCAACAGCCGAAGCTGGGCCAATTTGAAGCCAGGAGCCAGGTGCTTCTTCTGCGTCTCCCATGTGGGTGCAGGGGCCCAAGCACTTGGGCCATCTTCCACTGCTTTCCCAGGCCAGAGCAGAGAGCCAGATTGGAAGTGGAGCAGCCAGGACTTGAACCAGTGTCCAAATGGGATGCCAGCACAGCAGGTGGTGACTTTACCTGCTAGCCTACAGCACTGGCCCCTACAGCACTTTTTAAAAAATCATTTAGAGTGAGTAATGCTTCAACTTATTAGAACAAGATCTTATTTATCTTTGTACCTCTTTACTCCTAATGACACCCAGAAAAGGGACACGGTAATTGCTCAAAAAAATCTGTTGAGTAACCAAACGAAGGGGTAGGCACTTTCCATACCTGGCGCCCATGTAGGAATTTTAGGGGGCTAAAGCTTTACCCAAAGATCCTTAGAACAAGAAGGCACTGGGGTTTTGATAGCAATCAGAACAGAATAAATATGAAAATGAACCTACCAACTTGTTCCTGAGTTACTGACACTGTTGGAAGAGATGTAATCTTCTCTTTGTCAGCTGGGGGAGGCCCTGTGTTTTCCAGTTGTCCTAAAAGCTACAGAAAAGAAAAAGAAAGAGAAGAAGAAGAAGTGGAAGGCATCTCAATATCCCTGGAGAGGGAACTGCGCCAGCTGAGAACAAACAGTGCTGATATTAGAAGTGTTAGTTACTCTCACTCCGTGAGGCTCTGCGAACTTGGGTTTCCCCTTACCTGCTGTCAGAACACTGACAACCGCTTTACAAGTTCAGAGTGACATCAGTAGAAGCCTACAGACATGGCTGCCATGCTCACATAGGGCATAAAGCAACTTTACAGGTAGTAAAAGGGTTGTGATAGTATAAATAAAACTACAGCTCAATAAAAAGTAATACTTGTAAGTACCACGTGCTAACCGCCTGCACCACTGGAGCACCCAGTCAAAAAAAGTAATACTTAACTGGTCCAAAAGCTTCATTCTGCCGGAAGCAAGAAAAGGGTGAGAGCATAGAAAGTAGCATGAAGTAAGCCAAGAAACAGGTGAATTACTACTGCCTACAAGAAGACTTGGATATAAACAACATGCTTTCTACTCTCTGCAATCCACATGGGAAATGAAAAACCGATCAAATTAAAATGAACAAAAACAAGGAGAAGAAATTATACATGGTATGGGAATACCTTTTTCTCTGCTTCCTTCCCCTACTTTGCTCCACCTAGCAGAAATCCCTGCTTCAACATGTGAGACGACCCTCCTTTTTTGTGAAGTACTTATTAGTAGGATCCTCACAGGACTAAACAAGAAGCCAAAAATACAATATATTGTTTGTTATAGGCAAAGTCTTTTCTTCCTATGGAGGTGAAACAATCTTCTAGAAATCCTCTTGGACTAGGAGATACATGGATGCTGAACTAAACCCATAAACCATTTATCTCTTTATAAAATGAGAACCCAAAAGCTTAAAATGTTAGAGAAAGCAGAGTGACTGCCATTTCAGAAAGTAGCAGAAGGAAAGCAGGAAGCCTGTGGAACCATGAGACACACTGAACAGACACCCTCAAAAGGCAGCTCCTCACCTGGGTTACAATGGCATCAAGCCCTGTCTGACCCCAGGCATAGTCCCCAGGGTTGGAGTGCAGCATCCCGCTCCTATACATGAGATGAGACAGACAGCATTAGATGGAGTGACCAGGCTCTGCCTTACACCACAGAAAAAAATTGGCAGAGGTTTCCTGTTCTCTCTCTCACAGCCGGAAAGTCACCCGACCTTTAGAATCAGGAGGCAAAGGATTTCTCGATATTTTCAAAGTCAGATCATCCAGAGACAGCCTCTCATTCTCTAGGAATTTTATTTGACTGGAACATAAAACGTGAAGCTACCTGAAGTACCATATGACATACAAGAGCAAAAAGAGCGATTCTTTACCTATTAGTTCGGGAAAGCTTGCATTTTCTGTACTCTCTTAGAACACAAATGGAGCTGCTTTGTAAGGAGAGTTTTCCCTTCAACATGGGCCAAAATCTACAGCAGACTTCCCTCATTCCAAGAGGCTGCCAGGATCCTGGGCAATGAGGAGCTTTCTAGCAGGGAAGCAGCGATGGCAGTCCCTGCATGACTACTCAGAGCAATGACAAACGGGACTCAATGGCACTGCAGCTGCTGGAGAGTGGCTGCAGCACCCTGGGTGCGGTCCAGGCTCTCTGATGGGGACATGTTTAAAGGAACTGGAGGCTGGAACATAGGGTAACTGTGTGGAAGCACTGAGGTCTCTCTGAGCAAAGAAGTCTTCTGGGGCAGAGTCAGGAGTGGCAGACAAGAAGAAAGTCCATCGTTAAGCCCTGCCATAGGTAAGTGTCACTCTCATACTGAATTATAGCCATTTGTTTCTAGTGAAAAAACCTTCTGACTTTTGGGGAAAACCGTTATGATTTCAACTGCAGAAAGTACAGAGGGGAAACCCACCAATAAGATACCAAGTTTGGCAGGGATCATTTTATTCTACACTTCAGCACAGTCCGCAGACCAAGAACATAAAAGGAATCAGATATCCACACATCTTGGGAGACCAGGACAGCTCTCCTGAGCCTGAACAATAAAGCAGCACGTTTGAGCTCAGTGACACCGCAGTCTAGCAGTCTCCCAGTCACACCCACATACTCACCTACACAGCTCTTTTTCTTGCTCCCTATTGCACAGACACCACAGCACCTAAAATGATGCTACTCCATCAGAGCAAGATAGAAAGCAATTAGTTACTTACCAGGAAAAAGGGTGTGGGGATCCAGGAATTGCAGAATTTGCAAAGAATCCTGCAAAGATCTGTTGCATTATTCTGTTAGAGGGGAGAGAGAGAGAGAAAAAAAAGGATAAGACAACAAACTAATGAAAACACTACAGATAGCATGGCTGACTAATCAAATACTTCCCAACCTCAATGGCTTTGCACTATTACGTAAGCATCACTAGAAATCAGTCTGCTACCTGGTGGTAAGCTATCTTACTATCAGGGCTACCCTCCTGAGCTCTGTTATTTTATGGATTACTAGATTTTTGTGAATAAAGCTAGAATGAGATCTGATGGCATTGTACAGTTATCAGATTATGTTCCTGGAATCTCTGGCACCAGTATGAAAAAGGCCTGAGAGGGATGCTGAACCACTGAGATTCTTGGCACATCCCCATTTAACAAGGGTAGTTCCATTTCAGTGTGTCTTCCCATGTTAGGTTTCTGTATAAGACATCATTTATGGGGTAGGCACTGTGGTGCAGCAGGTTAAGCCACCACTACAGATGCCCACATCCCCACATCCCCAGTGGAGCCAATCCAGCTTCCTACTAACGCACCTCCCTAGAGGCAGCAAATGACAGTTCAAGCATTTGGGACCCTGCTTTCCAGAAAGGACACACAGAGTTCCTGACCCCTGACTGTGGCCTGGCCCAGCTCCAGCTATTGTGGGCATTTGAGTAATAAATCAGCAGTGGAAAATATCTATATTTCCACCTCCCCTGTGCCTTTCAAGTTTAAAAAACCAATAAACTTTATTTAAAGAGACCATTTTGGGGCCAATATTGTGGCACACTGGATGAAGCCTCCATTTGTGATGCTGGCATCCTGTTTTGAGTCCTGGCTATTCCGCTTCTGATCCAGTTTCCTGCTAACGCACCTGAGAATAAAGAATCTGGGCCCGGCCACCCAGATGGGAGACCACAGTGGGGTTCCTGGCTTTAGCCTGGCCAAACCTGACAGTTGTATCTATTTGGTAAATGAACCAGTGGATTGAATATACATCTCTATTTCTGTTTTTCTCTCTCACTGCTTTTCAAATAAATAATACATAAGAAAATAAAACTTTTAAAAATATATCATTTAAAGGATCTTTTTATTAAATTTGAGAATTACTTTATTTTAAGGGAATTTCAGATGACTATACTATAAACACACATGTGTTTAGCATTTATCATTCTGAACCCTTAGGATGGCACATGTACCTTTTTTAGATGTTTGCTTTATCCTAATGAGTTGGTCTTTGTTACCCAAAGAGATACTGGAGCTAAGTCTCAGAAAAAGGAGAAAACTGTTTCGTAGCGCACCTGTGCTTTGAATGATACGCGCTTTTCACCCTCTTGGCTCTCACTATCATTAGGCCAATGAATATAACAATGGCAGGCCAGCATTGCGGCTCACTATGCTAATCCTCTGCCTGCAGCGCCGGCACCGCGGGTTCTAGTCCTGGTTGGGGTGCCGGATCCTGTCCCGGCTGCTCCTCTTCCAGTCCAGCTCTCTGCTATGGCCCAGAAGGGCAGTGGAGGATGGCCCAAGTGCTTGGGCCCTGCACCTGCATGGGAGACCAGGAGGAAGCACCTGGCTCCTGGCTTCAGATCGGCGCAGCGCGTCAGCCGTAGTGGCCATTTGGGGAGGGGGGGTAAACCAGTGGAAAGGAAGACCTTTCTCTCTGTCTCTAACTCTGCCTGTCAAAACAAAACAAAATACAATGGCAGCCATGAATATTATATTTTTCCTACTACTGAAGTTCAACAATAGCTAACTACACTATTTTCTCTGTGCTTTCTTATTTTGTTTTGTATCTTTACTTTTACAACAAAATTTACATATTTACAGCATAAACACAATGTTTTAAAAATATGTACAAAGTATGGAATGGCTAAATAAAGCTGACTAACATATGCATTACCTCACACTTATTTGTTGTGAGTACATTTAAAATCTACTCTCTTAGCAATTTTTTGTAAAGATTTATTTTATTTATTTGAAAGGCAGAGTTACAGAGAGAGAGAGAGAGAGAGAGAGAGAGAGAGATCCCCCATCCACTAGTTCACACCCAAAATGGTCACAACGGCTGGGTCTGGGCCAGTCTGAAGTCAGGAGCCAGAAGTTTCTTCCAGGTCTCCCAAGCCAGCGCAGAGGCCCAAGCACTTGGGCCATCTTCCACTGCTTTCCCCGGCCACAGCAGAGAGCTGGATGGGAAGAGGAGCAGCTGGGACTAGAACTAACGCCCATCACTTCTTCCTCTCTTTGTCTCTCTATAACTCTGACTTTCAGGTAAATAAATAATTCTAAGGAAAAAAAGAGATAGGACTTAATTCTCTTCCCTTCAATCATGGGCTGGACTTAATGACTTCTTGCAGATAAAACTTCTATATGGCAGAAGTGACAGCAGGTAGCTTCCAAAATTTTGATACAGAAAGGCATTACTATGGTCTATTTCCTTCCTCTCTCTCAGATCACTCAGTCTGGGAGAAGTCAGCGGCAAATCCTGGCGACATTCAAGGAGCCCGAGGGAGAAAGCCACTTGGTAAGGAAGGATGCCCCCTGCCAACAGCCATGTGAAGGAGCAGTCCTGGAACAGCTTGGCCAAGCCCAGCTAAGTGTTGAGATGACTGCGCCCGCAGCTCACATTACTATTACCTCAGGAGCCCCTCACCTGAACCATCTAGTTCAGCGGCTCCCAATTTCTGATGCTGAGGAATAGGAGATAATGAATGTAAGCTGCTACATTCTGGGTAATCTGCTCTATCACAATAGCTAACTAATATACTCTCCTTGCCTGCTACTGACAAGAAGAACAAATCAGACGTGCTTGAACTGATCAATAAGTAAATGGTACTAATCAAGTTTGAGAAATATCCTATCTCCTTGAAGCTCTAAAGTTGGCCCTACACAAAAGCTTGGAGTTGGAGGAGCACCTCACCAGCAGCTGATCAATTACGATTGCTCTTTCTTGGCGGCTTCCTCTTTGGAAGTCACATGCTCACCATTATATTAAGTATAAGATGAGATTCTCTTCAGTTGATACATACAGTGTTTACACTGATATGCGCTTTTTTTGGTTAAAAAGATAAAATTGAGGCCGGCACCGTGGCTCAATAGGCTAATCCTCCACCTAGCAGCGCCAGCACACCGGATTCTGGTCCCGGTCAGGGCACCGGATTCTGTCCCGGTTGCTCCTCTTCCAGGCCAGCTCTCTGCTATGGCCAGGGAGTGCAGTGGAGGATGGCCCAGGTGCTTGGGCCCTGCACCCCATGGGAGACCAGGAGAAGTACCTGGCTCCTGCCTTCTGATCAGTGCGGTGCGCCAGCCGCAGCGCGCTGGCCGCGGCGGCCATTGGAAGGTGAACCAATGGCAACAGAAGACCTTTTTCCCTGTCTCTCTCTCTCACTATCCACTCTGCCTGTCAAAAAAAAAAAAAAAAAAAAGATAAAATTGCATTACAGTTAAATGTGGGGGTAGAGCGTGGTGGGAAAGGGAGGTGTGTATATATATATATATATTTTTTTTTTTTTTTTGACAGGCAGAGTGGACAGTGAGAGAGAGAGAGAGACAGAGAGAAAGGTCTTCCTTTACCGTTGGTTTACCCCCCAATGGCCGCTGCGGCCGGTGCACCGCACTGATCCGAAGCCAGGAGCCAGGTGCTTCTCCTGGTCTCCCATGCAGGTGTAGGGTCCAAGGACGTGGGCCATCCTCCACTGCACTCCCGGGCCACAGCAGAGAGCTGGACTGGAAGAGGGGCAACCGGGACAGAATCTGGCACCCTGACCGGAACTAGAACCCACGGTGCCGGTGCTGCAGGCAGAGGATTAGCCTATTGAGCCGTGGCGCCGGCCATGTGGTATGTATTTTTATTTTAGTAACTCACAGAAGAAAAAAAAAATCCATCCACATATCTCAAGTAGAAGTGAAAATCGGGGTCGGCGCTGTGGCGCAGCAGGTTAAAGCCCTGGCCTGAAGCACCAGCATCCCATGTGGGCGCTGGTTTGAGACCAGCTGCTCTACTTCCAATCCAGCTCTCTGCTACGGTCTGGGAAAGCAGTAGAAGATGGCCCAAGTCCTTGGGCCCTTGCACCCACACGGGAGACACAGAAGAAGCTCCTGGCTTCGGATCGGCCCAGCTCCAGCTGTTGCAACCAATTGGGGAGTGAATCAGCACATGGAAGACTTCTCTCTCTCTACCTCTCCTTCTCTCTGTGTAACTCTGACTTTCAAATAAATAAATAAATCTTTACCCAAAAAAGTAAAAATAAGAGAAGTTCACACTTTTTTCAACTCCAGAACTTTCCCAAGAGTCCTTCACCATTCTGGAAAATCATAATACCAATGTTTTCTATGGGAGATGGACTGTCAATATAATACTCTTGTCCCATGGCTTTTGCAGCAATCACTTCTTAATGATTCCACATATAGAGGCAAGCATCTGATTTTTCATTTTGTCTACCAAAATAGTAAAGGCTATGAACATAAATATCAAAACATAATATATTTACAATTTTTATTTCTTCTTTATATGAGAGAGTAATAGGATGTATACTCATATGTATTTTTTAAATTGCATGTTATAATCAATGAATTTCTAATCAAGCTAGTAGAGGGCATTACAAAATATTTAGTTTAAAAGGCATCTGTTAAGTGTAAGATAAACCAAAGCCCATTTAGTTATGTGAACAATACATTTTAATTTTTAAAAAGTTACAGTACACTAGATTTCCACCACTTGTAACCAAAAACAATTATGATTAATATAATCACAAAAGGACCAAGCAAAGAAAATAGATTATAAAGGAATAATTTTTTTAAATAAAGGACTAAAATGTTTTTAAGCATAGTATGAAATATAAGATTAAAAATCTGATATCCTAAAATGAAAACATCCATACAGTGATCAAGAACAAGAAAAAGGACAGAATAGAAAAAAATTTATGTTTGCAATATATAGAAGATTAGCATCTAAACTATATATACATAAGAGCTCCTAAATATTTTTTAAACTCTTTAATAGGAAAGCTGGGCAAAGAATATTAAATAATATAAGTATCTAA